TCGACGGTGCCTAATGAGAGGCAATCTCCCTTATTTGTCTAATGATAGGCCTTGTCGTAGGATGCAGTATCGACCTTCAATATGTGCTCTCGTTGTAGGATGTTGTATCGACCTACAACGGCTATATAAGTCATCACAAGAGCATTGTTATATGATATGATTGATTGGAGAAGTGACAATTATTTATTGATTTATGTACATGTTGTGATTATGTTTTCTGTTATTATACTGAATAGATTGTGCAGTATTTTCCATGGTGAGCTAGTAGTTTGCTCACACCCCATATCCTCCTTTTAGGTTGAGCTGGTGGCGTGGCGTGGCGTGGCGTGGCGTGGCGAGGTGGCGAGTGGAGAGTCATTTTACTTATTATTGTTTACGATTTGAAACTGTTTCCGTTGTACTTATGTATTGAACTTGGATGATTTATGATTACGAGATTATATTTATGATTATGATTGATGTTTGTCTCGTATGTATGTGATGTATTGGGCGATGAGATCGCAAGTGTTGGGCAATGAGTTTTTGTAGGCTCAAATATGACTTGAGTTATTTGTGATAATGTTTTGAGTAACGCCGTTAAACGCGTGATATCGAAAAAACGAATTTCGAAAAAAATAAATCCTGGTTTTGTAAAAGTCCAGCATTTTCTTTTAAAAAATTATCGAGCGTTACACCATGAATAATATATTATTATATACTAGCATTGTAGTACATATAATAATACATATTTTAATACAAGCTTCAAAGCCATTTTAGTTGTGCTAATTACGGTGCATTAGTTCACCCTACTGTCTCAAGTTTTTAATTTATGGATGACAACGCACACTCTTTGGATATGTGTGTCTTTGTTAATCTAATGGTAAAAAACTCAGTGTCGCAATAAAGTTTAATCTTAAATAAGCGTCGTTCTGTTTGTTGTGTTTTTGTGCTTATTTTTATGTGTTTATGCGGGTTATCGAGTCGGTTTTAGGTTCGTTTTAGTGTCGACCGGTCCATTTTATCGTTTTCTGAGTGTTTCTATGTCTTCTCTTTTATTTTGTATTTTGGCGTACCTTTTCGTGCTTTTGTGAATAATTTCAGGTTTATTCCGAGGATGAAGAGAATATTTGAACCGAATCCAAGAGTCGAGCCGAGTTCCGAATCACTTCCGAGTATTTCGAGCATTGTC